CCAAACACATGTGCGTGCGTGCCCAAAATCCCAAGAAGAGAATGGAGAAGAAGAGATTACGGTGTGGCCATCCCCTCTGGGGGTGGGGAGTGATTTCTCACTTTCTGTCTCTTTGTTTCTCTCTGTCTCTCTGGCAAGTACACGTTCCTTATAACAAAAATGTCTCAAAAAAAAAAAAATGTTCCCTTAATGGACAAAAATGTCTCAAAAAAAAAAAAAAAAAAAAGTTCCCTCAATGGACCCAACCAGCTTTTAAGTAATACACATTTTTCATGAACTTTTTGAATAACCCTCCTTGCATTATAAAAAAAAATCTAAGCATGGATTTAAAAATATATTTTTGGCATCAAAATAAACCAGTACTGAGGGCAGCAGTGCTGGTTTTCAAGCCACTGAATCCAAGGCTTGAAAATCATGCCAAGAAAGGGTGAATGCATGCCCAAAATCCCGTAAAGAGACCGGAGGAGAAGGGATTGCCGTGCGGGCATCCCCCCTGAGGGGTGATTTCTCACTTTCCCTCTCTTTCTTTCTCTGTCTCTCTCTGGCAAGTGCAAAACTAAAAAACAAAACAAAACCAACAAACATACTTTAGTTCTATTTTCCACAAACACGTGTGATTAGGCCAGTGACAGAGAAAACATCGCACGCACTGCCAAGGACTGTGGCCTGGGGGCTGTGGGCACGGGCAGGGTGCCAGGTCCTCCCTGGGCCCTCGAGGCCTTGCCCTGCCCTGCTTGCCCAGTGCTGCCACCCACAGTGCTGAACAGTAATCGGGAATGTAATGATCAAACCAGACACCAGTGGCTTGCCGGGCGCTGTCCGGGGTTCTGAGGGCGGTATGGCATTGCCCTGGAGACTGAGGGCCACTCTTACACTCTCCGTTTTTCACGTGAGGAAACCGAGGCACAGAGAGATGAAGCCGCTTGCTTCAGGCCACTCGGTGCTGGGCCTTGGACTTGACCCTGGCTAGGGCAGACACGTACTGCCAGTGGATTTTCACGGAGATGAGACTCACTGTGGCGATGAAATACAAGAGGCCAGCCCCATAGCGTAGCGGTTGAGAAAGCTGGATCTGACATGAGTGGTTCGGGTGCCAGACTAGCAGCGTGAAAAACATGTTGGGCACATGCGCATGTGTGCCCCCAAATCCCAACGGGATGGAGAAATGGAAGAGATGGGATTGTGGCGTGACCATGTTCCATGGCGGGGGCGCACTCTCTCTCTCTCTCTCTCTCTCTCTCTCTCTCTCTCTCTGGTGAGCACACACACCCTATTGCAATACTTTTCTAAATGACTGACTACAAGAAGACTTCAAAAACTTTATGGAAAAAAATGAAATTGAATTTTATTTCAGTGCAAAAAAGGTTTTAAAGGCCAGATGATGTAATGGTTCTACCACTGGCTCCCGCATGGCTGACCACAGTTCGAGTCTTGGACCTGGTGTCTTAAAACTCCTGCAGGGCATGTGTGTGTGCATGTCCCAAATCCTGAGAGGAGAATGGAGGAGAAGGAACTGCAGTGAACCCAACCCCCTGGGGCTGGTTTCTCACTTTCCATCTCTCTGTCTCTCCAGCAAGCACATGCACGCTATAGCAAAAATCTCTCTTAAATATTTTTTTGAAATCCATGTGTATTGTTTCCATAATATGCATTTTTCATGAAGATTTCAAAGACCTGCCCCCCCCCCGGGGCTGGCAGAAGTGGTCAGAGTTGCAGAGACTAGCTAAGAGGAGGCTCAGCCAAAGATACAGCTGGGCTGCAGGGTTGCCAAGTAAACGCAGGACATCCATCTGATGCCACTCACTATCAGGTAAGCAGTGGGTACTATTTTGTATTCAAGTATGTCCCCCTGTGATATTTGGTATAATAAGAAGGCTGGTCTCACTGAACCTAACTAACTCTCATTCCAGGACCAGCCCACGGTCACCTCCTCCAGATAGCCTTCCCTGATACACCTCCAAGCCTCCAGCCTTGCCCATACAATATTTGGGACAAACTTATACCTAAATAAATAAATAAGTAATTCGATGCTTGTCTGAAACTCAAATTGACCTAGGTATCCCATGTTTTACTATTTGCTTAATCTAACAATCTTTGCTTAACAACTCTCACATTTTTTTTTAATTGCCAGAGGGCAGTTGCCCTTACCAGACAGACTGAGAGAGAGAGATCCCCTAATGGGGCATGGCCATGTCACAATCCTTTCTCCTCCTTTCTCCTTCCTGTCAGAATTTTGGGCACACACATATGTGCTGGCATGTCTTTCAGGCCACTGGGGCCAGGACCTGAACTGCAGTCAACCATGTGGGATCCAGCTTCCTTAACCACTAGGCCACAGGGCCGGCCTGCAGTGCACATTCTTGCAGGAAGTGGGGGTCTTTTGCTAACCCCCTGATTCCATTAATGAGACTTTACCTGGACTGCCCAGCCCTGGGCAACAAGCCCAAGCTCGTATCAAATACCAATGAGTTTTCAGACTTTATTTTTGTTCTTTGAGAACAGAGAAAACATTCTCTTGACACCTGCCAGGTAGCAGAGAGACAACAAAGGAATACCCTACTAGTTGCAGAAGAAAAAAAGCCCCACAGAAACACAGAAAAAAAAATAGAAAAACCACTTCAAATGCTTCCTTGACACCACACATCCTGTGACTGACTCCTCCATGCAGACTGTTGACAAACAGGTCAGACCTGAGAGAGCCAGCGTGGACCCTTTCCCTCTGCAAAAACAACAGGAAAACAAACCGTAACTCCCGTGCTGACTCAAACGGACCCGCTCGGCCAAGACTCGGGAGATAAATGTGGAACCCAGGGCCAGGATCACGTCTCATCCTGTGCCTTCAAGGTCAAGCGGTCTGGCCTCCTAGTGACCCTCCAGTCATGAGGGAGAAAGGACATAAAAGAAGCACAGCCTCAGTGGTACAGGTGGTAGGGCAGCACTGTGTGATCCTGAAGCCATATGGGAGGCCCAGGGTTCAGATCCCAGGTCAGCCTGAACATGCCAGGTGAGCCACGCACACTCGCCATCCTGGCTGGGAGTCTGGGGTGGATTGCCGTGTGGTGAGATTCTGCTGAGGATCCAAGGATGCGTCTCTGTCTCTGTCTCTCTCTCACACAATTCCCTCCCCACCCCTTCCCATGAACAGGGCGTCAGGAGGCTGAAGAGTGGATTAGCCCCCGGGATGTAAAGACAGGGGACTCACATCTCCCTACTCACTGCTGAAACAGACCTTTCTGCACCGCTTTACCAAACGGGGCCCCTGGACGAGCGCCACCAGCATCGCCTGGGACTTGATGCCCGAGGGCTGTCCAATCAGAAACTCTGGGAATCCCCCGCAATGTGCAAATGCGGGTTGAGCAGTTTTACCAAGGTATAATCCACAAAGGCTAAACTGCTCATTTTTGCTTTTCAAGAATATATTTTTGGAAGTTTTTGCATTTATTTTTTTCCCCTGTGTAAGAGAACTAGAGACACAGCACCCCTACGAGGGTCTCAAGGCATCACTCCACCCCCAGCCTCAGCCAGCACAGGTATGCCTGGTGCACTCGGGGAGGTCTCCCAACCCAAACCCAGAATCCTGCCACATGGGTCAGCCTTGCAGAGCATTGGGTTTCACCTCTGCACCGCCACCGCCATGCAGCCCTCAGATTGCTCCTCCTAAAGTGGACCATCTGATACATTTCGACACACACGCCCGTGAACCGATGACCACGGTAAAGACGATAAATGTGTCAATCACCTCCAAAGGTTCCCTTTTGGAATCTTTTCTCCCTCCAACCCCTCTCTTCTGTCCCCAGGCAGGCAGTGGCCTGCCTGTTGTCACCGCGGAGTAATTTGCATTTCCATGACATCATCGATGAGCTGTCCTGTTTTTCATCTGGGGTTTTTCACTCAGCGGAAGTATCTGGACAGCCAGCCACACCCTTGGGCCTACCGGTGCTCTCACTGTTATCGCCGCGAGTACCGGATTCCGTGGACACCGCTTACTGCCCACCACTGACCTGTGGCGAGACATTGGGTACAGCTGGGGCTCTTAGGAATAACACGCTATAAGTTTTCATGTCGAAGTGTTTCTATAGACATAGACTTTTATTTGCCTGCAAAAGTATCTAGAAATAGAATGATAGGTCTTATGAGAAATGTATGTTTAGGCTTTTTGTTTGTTTTGTTTATTTGGATGACTGGTTGGTTGGGGTTTTGTGTTTGCTATAAAATGTATTTGCCCACTAGAAAGAGACAGAGACAGGGAGAAGGAAAAATTGCCCTCCAGGTGGGATGGCCTCACCGCAATCCCTTCTCCTCCATTTTCCTCTCGAGGTTCTGGGCATGGACACATATGCTCCCGGAGTATTTCCCAAGCTGCCAGGTCCGGGACTCAAACTGTGCAGCCAGCCATGTGGGATCCAGTGCCCCAACCTCCATACCACCTGCTGGGCTTTCTAAAGAAACTCCCAAACCGTTTTCCAAGTTGGTTACACTGTTTCACATCTCCCCCAGTGTGGTGCGGGAGAGTCCCAGTTACCCCAAATTCAACCCAGCACTTGGTATGAGCAGTCTTTTAAATGTCGCCACTCTGGTGTCTACTGAGAGGACTTGGCTGACTTAGGCCGGACCCTGTGCACACCCCACTTTGTTTCCTCCTCCCAGCCACCACGGGCAGATACACCACCATTTCTTGACCGAAGGAGACACAGACACTCAGAGAGGTTACATTACGAGCCCGAGGCCACAGAACTGAGTGTCAGGGTCAGAATTTGAACCCAGACAACCTGGTCCCAGGACCCACACTCTTTTCTCTTGGTTCTCTTTTTTTGTATTCATCTTGTTTCCCCCAACAAGCTCATACCCTGCAAAGGCACCCCCAGCCTCTCCCATATGGCCGGCCCCTGGCAGCTACACACCCCAGTGCCAAAGAGATGAACTGAGCAGAGGCCTCCATCGCCCCTATGGCTGGCCCCGAGGACAGACTCCCTTCCACCCCTGAAAGATGCCCGGCTTACCTTGGGCCACATGCCCATGCCGAAAGTGCTGCTGTCGGCCATCTGGTGCAGGTTCAGCTCTGTCCTGGAGGCAGAGAAGGGCCCAGAGGTAAGGGGGTCAGGGTACCCACACCACTGACCTGGCTGGACAGGTGGCCCTCACAGGGTGACATTCCACACAACACCCAGGAAGCCCTGGTAGCTGCCCCACACCTTGGTCCCACCAGGTCTGTCCCAGACTATCTGTCTCCCACATATTCCTTCCTCACTGCCCTTCCCCAAGAGCAAGGAACCCCCAGAAGAAAGGATTATGGAGCAAAACCAGGGGAGCAGGTTCTACCCGCAGTTCTCTCCTAAGCAGCTGAGTGACCTCACTCAGGGGCAGTATGAGCACAGCCGGCCAGGACGAGCCCTAGGTGCATGCTAAGTTCTAAGAGGACTCCTGGCGGCCCCACCATGGGTCAAATCTCATTCCCATTCACAGGTGGCAGAACAGAGGCACTGAGAGGCAGTGTCCTGCCCAAGACTTCACAGCCAGCAAAAGGAGCCAAGGTCGGGCTGGGTTCCTTTGGCCCCCAGAGCCCAGACTCTTACTCTGCCCTGCCATCTGCCCCCTCTCTGTGCCTCTGCACCTCGTAAAGTGGCAAGATGTTCACGGCCCCTGCCAAGGCTCATGCTGCAGGTTCCCTGACAGCTGGGATACCACTTCCTGCAAGCCAAAGATGGAGGGGTTGGAGGAGATGGCCGTGGCCCTGCCCCTCAGGCACACGCCACTCACCAAAGCATCGTGGACCGGTGAGGGTTGCCAGCTCCCAATGTCACTCCACCTCCCACGTGCACTCGAATTGGCTCCTGGAAGTGGAGCTTACTAGTCCTGGCTAGTTTCTCCAATTCTGGGTCTTTCGTGTCCCTTCCCCTGGTTCTCTGCAGACCCCACACCCCTGTTCCCCATTTGGCGCTCCTGAAGGACCCTGAGTCCAATCCCAGCCCCACCACCTAGCACACAGGTAGGTCTCTAAGTTCCCCTTTTCCTCGTCTGTAAGACAGGCCTTTGACTGCTTACCTGGGAGGAACGACCGAGACGCTGGATGTATACGATATGATAGAATTATGGCAGTGTAATATGGCTGGCCTGGCCCAGGTAAGTACTCTGTATTCCCCTCATGCTCTCTTCTTTAGATGGAAATTCCATTTGACAAATAACTAAGAATAATTAATAAGTAATTAGCATAATGCCAAACCCTATGCTAGGCATGGGGAAGACAGAAAGGTAGGGTCAGTCTGGTGACCCCAGCATGGCAGATACTGAGCCAGAAACATACGCCAGGCACCAAAGTGACAGAAAGGAGAAATCAAGAAGAAAGAATCAGGCAGCACTCCTCTGAAAAAGGAGGTCAGAGTAAGGTTTTAAAGGATGAATAAGAGTGTTCTACATGAACGCTTGGGAGAAAGGACATTTGTGGAAGGGGAACCACTTTTTGCCCTTTGAAGCTGCTGCGTAGGTGAGGGGTGCTCTGGTAGCAGCAAGAGTTGGAGGAAAGGAGAGAGTCTGAGAACACCAGGGAGGCCCCAGAACGGCCATGGTCCCCTGAGGAGTCGGAGTTGCTTCAAATGCTCTTCTGCACTCTCCTAGAGTCCCTGAACCTCATCTGGGGCTGCCTCATCCTCTCGGAGGCAGCTTTGGCTGGCTCCTAAGGATACCAGACCCCCAAGGCCAGACCCACTGATACTGAGACCCTTGACCTGGGTCAGGCCCAGCAGGTAGGCCTGCCATCCTCTACCATAGCAGGCCAGTCCCATCCTTTCTGTGCCCATCTTGGGGGGGGGGGTCCCCAACTGCCCCCTTCCCAGCAGGCAACGGCTCCAGGCCCAGAGAAGAGTCCCTCTCAGGAATAGAGAGGACAGGCCCCTGGCTGGGCATCCAGGGCTGTCAAAGGGAGACATGTGTGTTCTCTAGAGGGGTGAAAAGTACTAGTCTAAGGTCACACAGCCAGCAACTGGGTGCACCAGGATGCAAACCCACACAACCTGGGCCCGGAGTCTGCGGACCCAGCCACTATGCTATTAACCAACACCCTACACCAAATTCTCCCTTCTAGAAGCTTCTTTGCTATTCATTTACCCAGCTTTGAAAACTGGGCATTTCTTCTGTAAACTGCCCTCCCTCTGCAAGATATATATGTCCCACCGGCCTTAGCCAAATGCGCAGATTGGATTGAACCTGACTTTCCGATGAAGGAGGAAGACACGAGGGCAGAGGCAGGGGAGTGAGAAGGGTACATCTCACACGATCACCCCTCATGTGGCAAAACCCAGCTTTGCCTCTCTTCGGGCTTCACTAGAGCCCTGCCCTTCCATTCATCCAACAAAGAAAACCAAGACTCAGAGAGAGGTTTGAGGGTGGGAGTCAGGACACGCTGTATCCAGGTGACATGCTCAAGGATGTCCCGTAGACGCGAGGAAGGACAGAGGTGATGCTGGGGCCACTTCCTCAGAAAGCCCTCCAAGATAAGGCTCACTTGACTACCCTGCTCCCTGCTCCACTCAGCCCCCACAGTCTGCTAGGGATACCCCATTGAGGCACACCCTGTGTGCACCCAAGGCTCGCACAAAGTTTGAAAACTTCCAGGTGACCTGGGTCTGCATTTCCTTGCCCCCTTCTCACACGGCTGCCTGGCCCTGCACCGGCACGCCACGGTCACAGCTGACGGTCGCTCACGCTCCAGCACTGAGGAAGAGCTGTATGTGAATTATCTCATGCAGTCCAGAGGTCAGGTCGAGGTACTGTTTCCACTTTACAGAAGAGGACACCCAGGCTCAGAGTGGATGCCCTATGACCAAGGTCACCAGGCCTAAGAGCTGTGTGTGCCCCGGGCAGCTTGAATCAGAGGCCATGTCCCTAACCACTGGGATCCACTGTCTCAGCTCTGAGCTCTGGGAAGAAGCTAAGGCTGGGCCCTGGAGGGCAGGTGCTGTTGGTCTCACAGCCCTCGCTGTCTCTGCTGGCCCCAAGTGCTCACCTGAGATCCAGGTCCAACCCGGCCAGCATCTGGGAGAAAACCGCGAAGTTGCTTTCCCCCTCAGGCTGCCGCGCCACCCGGCTCTTCTCCAAAAGCATCGTCTGCAGGGGGAGAGATCAGACACCCCGTCAGCACTCTGGGCACATCTGATACCCAGAGGCCCGTCGGGGTGTCCCAACCTGACCCACTCTTTGAGGTCACATCCCAGGTCCAAAGCCTGCTAGCAACCTCCCCACCTAAGCCTCCCAGCTCTCCCTGATTCTGCATCCACCTGGGTAATGAGTTAATGCAATCGACTTGTTCCAGTCCAATGGGGCCTGGCTCCCTTAACCACTGGGATACTGACTGGCCCGACGTGTTCCTTTTAACAGCCTCTGATACCCCGATCTCTAATACCCTGACCTCTGATACCCCGACCTCTAATACCCCGACCTCTAATACCCTGACCTCTGATACCCTGACCTCTGATACCCTGTGACCTCTAATACCCTGACCTCTGATACCCAGCATCTAATACCCCGACCTCTGATACCCTGACCTCTAATACCCCGACCTCTGATACCCCGACCTCTAATACCCCGACCTCTAATACCCTGACCTCTGATACCCAGCATCTAATACCCCGACCTCTGATACCCTGACCTCTAATACCCTGACCTCTGATACCCCGACCTCTAATACCCTGACCTCTGATACCCGACCTCTGATACCTTGACCTCTGATATCCCGACCTCTAATACCCTGACCTCTGATACCCTGCCTCTGATACCTTGACCTCTGATATCCCGACCTCTAATACCCTGACCTCTGATACCCGACCTCTGATACCTTGACCTCTGATATCCCGACCTCTAATACCCTGACCTCTGATACCCGACCTCTGATACCCCAACCTCTGATACCCTGACCTCTGATACTCTGACCTCTAATACCCTGACCTCTGATATCCCAACCTCTAATACCCTGACCTCTAATACCCTGACCTCTGATACCCGACCTCTGATACCCCAACCTCTGATACCCTGACCTCTGATACTCTGACCTCTAATACCCTGACCTCTGATATCCCAACCTCTAATACCCTGACCTCTAATACCCTGACCTCTGATACCCTAACCTCTAATATCCTGGCCTCTAATACCCTGACCTCTGATACCCTGACCTCTGATACCCTGTGACCTCTAATACCCTGACCTCTGATATCCTGACCTCTAATACCCTGACCTCTGATATCCCAACCTCTAATACCCTGGCCTCTAATACCCTGACCTCTGATACCCCGACCTCTGATACCCTGACTTCTAATACCCTGACCTCTGATACCCGACATCTAATACCCTGACCTCTGATACCCCGACCTCTAATACCCTGACCTCTAATACCCAACCTCTGATACCCCGACCTCTAATACCCTGACTTCTGATACCCCAACCTCTGATACCCCAACCTCTAATACCCTGACCTCTGATACCCCAACCTCTAATACCCTGACCTCTGATACCCGACATCTAATACTCCAATGTCTGATACCCTGACCTCTAATATCCCGACCTCTAATACTCTGATACCCCGACCTCTAATACCCCAACCTCTGATACCCAACATCTAATACTCTGACATCTGATACCCTGACCTCTAATATCCCAACCTCTAATACTCTGGTACCCCGACCTCTGATACCCCGACTTCTAATACCTTGACCTCTGATACCCGACCTCTAATACCCCAACCTCTGATACCCCGACCTCTGATACCCTGACCTCTAATACCCCAATCTCTGATGCCCGACCTCTGATACCCTGACCCACACATAGGATTTCTAGGCCAGGACACTGAAGGAACTTATCTGGCACAGAGGCGTTTCCTGTAAGTCTGGACATTACCCCAGCTCAGTGTACAAACAGCCCTCCTAATAACCTAATCCTATTTTCTGTTCAAACAGAATGTTGGGGTGGGGGGTGATTCTGGAGCTAGGAACGAACGGGCCGTGTGTTCGTCACACACCGACCGCCGTGCAAGGTGGCGAGCGTCTGTTTGATTTCAGCTTGCGCTGTTAAGACCCAGCTAATGAGCGGCTGAATCATATATTTACTCATGGATATTTCACCCCTGTGATATTCCAGTGTGCAGGCAGGCTGGCCTGCTCTGGGAGGGGCGTTCCAGGGCGCCGAGCGAGGAGAGCAGAGTTGACACATCTCAGGGGCCCAGCTGGAGGGTAGGCTCTGCCGAGTGGGGCTGGGGATACGACAGTCCCTAGGACTCCTCGCCAGCCCACCCAGAGACCTCACCTGGAGCTGAGCAGCCGTGACGCGGCCTGTGGCGTTGAAGTCCAGAGACATCACCATGGAGAAGCGGCTGGCATGGCGGCTGTGGCCCGTGGACACGGAGCCGAAGGCCCGGAGGACAGTGAACACAGCCCGGATCTTTTCCACTGTTGGGGAAATGGGACCAGCTATTCCCCAAGACCTAGGCACTGCCACCCACATCTGAAACGGGACCACATTTCCCCCAGGCCCTGCTCCGGGCCAGCCTTCATGCTGACCACCACCCCCACGGGCTCCTGCCTCCTCCTCAGCTCAGCTCGAAGCCACACACATTGCACCAAGCCCCTGGTGTGGCCCTGTGCGGAGGGAGCAGGACTCAGTCTAAAGGGAAGATACAACCTTAAGGCCTCGGGTCTGACTCCTCCGGGTGTTAACATTCTGGGGCCTGCCCTCAGGGAGCTTAAAGCTTAGGAACAAGTCTGCATGGTTGCCTACGGTGCAGCAAGTACTGTTCCTGCACCTGGATTCAGCCGATCCTGACTCCCACCCTCAAATACACACACTCACAGCAGATCTACGTTCTGGGAGGGCAGTGTCTGGCGCCTCTTCCCACAGTAACACCAGCTCCTAACATGGGCCGGGTGTAGGTAAGTACGTGATAAAGCCCTGCATAACCTCATGGGGGAAGCAGCACAGCCCAGTAGTCAACGGAGATCCAGTATGGGCTCTGCCCTCTGTACCCGGGATGGGGCGAGTGACTTCGCCTCCCTGTGTGTCACGCTGCCCATCTGTAATAGCAGTACCCACCACACAGGGTCAACATGAGCATGGAAGAGTTAAGGATGCAAAGTGCTTAGAAAGGGTTCCAAGTGGTGGTATTATTATTATTGAGCACCAGAAAAGCAACATGGCCCAGTCATGGGTTCCCATCAGGGAAGACACTGCCCCACAATAAACAAAAACTGGTTCTCGGGGGTGGTGGAAATTTTACTCTTTCCGGGCCAGCAGGTGGCACAGTGGTTAAGGTGCGGTGCTGTACCCACCCACATGGCTGACCCAGGTTCGAGTGCTGGACTCGGTGGCTTGAAACTCACACTGGGCACGGGTGTGTGCATGCCCAAAATCATGAGAGGAGAATGGAGGAGAAGGGATTGTGGCATGGCCATCCCCTGTGGGCGATTTCTCAATTTCTCTCTCTTTTTCTCTGTCTCTCCAGTGAGCACAGGTGCCGTATAGCAAAAATCTCTCCCAGAGAATTAAAATGTTACTCGTTTTATGCGTGGAGCATGGATAAGAGTAGGCTATGTACCTGGCTATCTGGCATGTCGGTGACAGTGAAATTCCATGGGCAGGGCAATGGTTAGAGGTTTTTAAAATGTCTGAAAAAAGCTCCTCGGGGTTGAGAACACGGCCCAGCAGTGGCATTGCTGGAGCCAGACTGTCTGGGTCTCCTCTCGGCTCCGGAACGCCTCTGCCGTGTGGCAATGGTGGGCCTGTTCACCTCTCTGAGTCTTGATGCCCTCGTCTGTCAAATCTGAGTAGTAAAAGCGACCTGATCAGCGGATGTAAATCATAAGGAAGTGCATACGTCCGCGAGGCGCCTGGCGTGTAAGCCCTCTGTCTGTGCGTGTAACCAGCAGCAGCCCTGTAATCACCGCCATTATTATTACTATCATTTAGGTTTGCTATAGGGCACATGCACTTGCCAGAGAGAGACCGAGAGAAAGAGAAACCACCCCCCCAGGGGGCACGGCCACGCCACAGACCCTTCTCCACTCTGCTCTCGGGATTTTGGGAATGCATGCTCACATACATTTCTTTTTCTTTTCTTTTCTTTTCTTTTCTTTCTTTCTTTTTTTTTTTTTTCTTTTTAAGAGAGACTTTTGCTATAGAGTGCATGTATGTACACACCGGAGAAACAGAGAGACAAAAAGTGAAAATCACTCCCCGGGGGGGAGAGGGGGGGCGGATAGCCATGCAGCAATCCCTTCTCTTCTTGGGATTTTGGGCACACATGCACATGCGCCGAGCATGAGTTTTAAGCCACCGGGTCTGGGACTCAAACTGTAGTCAACTACATGGGAGTCCAGCAACGTAACCATTATGCCATCTGCTTGTTCCACCAGTGTAGCTTTTCCCACTGGTCCAGGGACTCAAGTCACACAGTCAGTGACATGGGACCTAGTCACCTTACCAACTCCATGTCGTCTGCTGACCCAGCATAATTATTAATCGGCACTTTTCTTTTTTCTTTTTTTTTTTTTTCCCTCTGTTGCTCTAGAGCACAGAGGGAGAGAGGGTGAAAAATTACCCTCCAGGGGGGACAGCCATGCTGCAATCTCTCCTCCTCCACTCTCCTCTCAGGATTTTGGGTACACGTGCACACACGCCTGGTGTTTTCCAAGCAGCTGTGTCTGGGACTTGAACCATATAGTCGGCCCCAAGGGATCCAGCCGCCCTAACCTCCACACCATCCACTGGCCCATCAGCACCTTCTTTAAGGCTCACCTGGAACACCACTTCCCCGCCCTCCTGCACTGCCCCACCGGTGCTCCCCAGCCTGTCCCCGGCCATCTCTGCTGGCACCTTTTGAAGAACATCCGAGCTGGGCACTAGTTTGCCTCTGGCTACCACCTCCTGGGGCCTGGGCCTTGCCTTGTCTTTACTTGTTGGGTCCCCTGTACAGTTCAGCAGTGCACGAGGACACCCTGTCCAGGGAATGCGCCACTCACGTCACACTATCACAGACGCACAGACGTGCACACCTGGGGGGGGTGACTTCTCAGCAGACGGCGACAGTGCTAGTGAGCGACCGCCCTGCCGATGACTGTCCATAGCTGAGGAACGAGCCCCTTTTCTCATTTGACCAGAGGCACCCAGTGGACTAGAGGGCACCCCTGCCCAGGCACAGCGTCTGCACGGATCTGGCACTGTGTGAACGCCAGCCGAATGGACAGACAGAAAGAGGGGCAGCCCAGCACCTCCTCCAACGCTGGCCTTCCTTCCCCACCGTACCTGAGACCTTGCCGTCCACACTGCCTGCCATCCCCACCAGGTGCTCCAGGACTTGCTGGCAGCAGGAGGTCTTCCCGGCACCGCTCCGGCCCAGGGCCACGATGCCCTGGTCTCTCCGCTGGCTTAGCAGGGCCCAGTATACCCGCTGGGCCAGGGAGCTGATGTGGGCGGGCAGGCCATCCCGGCGGCCCCTGGGCACCTGCAGGAAGATCACAGGTGTCAGCTTCCCCACCCTGCCGTCACCTGGGATGCCCCAGAAGTGCATCCAAATCGTGCCTGTGTCCCATCCCACTTGAACCTGGCCAGAGACGTCTCAGCGTCTTCCTGGGAAAAGCCCAGACTCACGCTGAGTCCTGCGCCTGGCTCACCGTGGGTCCTTGGGCGAGCTCCGACTTTTCTGAGCCTGGTCTCCTCCTTAGCTATCGGGTTGTCAGAAAAGTCATGGCACATTTTTACATGGAAAAACAGAAAATCATGACTTTTCCAGTAGTTAGGGGCTTGAACTAGAGCTGTGTTAGCGATGGACTGCATCTCACTAGCTACTCAAATCATTGACTAGTATTTGCCTGAGATAAGGATGAGATGGTACAATCGATTAGTGATGTCTGCCACAGGAACAGGGAAGGGCGTGGGGGGTAGGGGAAGGTGGCATATGCACCGTGTGCCATCACAGACTGGGGTGAGCCTGAAATCCCTTCCGCCTCATCCATTCATTCATTCTTCATTCAATGAAAGAACCCCTCAGGGCATCTGCTACGTAGCAGGTGTCCCGGATGGCTGGGGGCACAGTACAAAATGGATAAAGGAAACCCCTGCTGACCACGGGGAGATGCCGTTAGACAGGAGTGTCCTCTTGTCCCCAGAATAAGTTTCCAGACTCCCAGCAGATGCCTGAGACTGCAGATAGTGCCCAACTCTTTTTCTTTTTTCTTCATTTGCTAGGGGACGAGTGCACTCACCAGAGACAGACAGAGAGAAAGCAGCCCTCCCCATGGGGCACAGTCATGCTACAATCCCTTCTCCTTGATCCCTCCGTTTTCTTGGGACTTTGGTCACATGCGCGCACTCACACCCCGTGTGTTTCTCAAGTTGCTGGGTCTGGGACCCAACCTGTCCAGTCAGCCACGTGGGATCCAGCTGCCTGAACCACCATGCCGTCAGCCGGCCCCCGAGCCCCGTGGACACTACATTTTCTGATCTGGCCATTGAGAGGACTGTAAGTGACCGACAGACAGACAGTGTAGACAGCGCACATACAACCGCCCAAGGGCTGATTCCCCTCGGGGCAGGACGAGCGGGACAGCGCGAGGTTTTGTGACCCTACTCAGAACCGCATGCAATTTAGAACTCGTGAGTTGTTTATTTCTGCAGTTTTCCACGTGCTGCTTCATATTGTGGCTGGATGCAGGTCACTGAAACCGCAGAAAGCAAAACCACAGAAAAAGGCGGGGGCGGGAAGTGCTGTGCAGCTGTTAGAAGGATGATTTCATTATTATTATTGTATGAGCGGTCACTACCGAGTTCTGATGAAGACGTGAAGCAGCTACAGTTCCGCTCTGCTGGGGATACGTAAGTGACACCGTCACTCAGGCCAGGCTGGCAGTGTCTTCCACAGTGACACGCACACTCCTCTTACTGCTCTGCCCCTGGGCATTGGATTCCCCGGGAGAAATAGAAATTTATGTTCACGAAAAGGCCCTGTCACTGGTTATATTGAATATATACAAACTCGCTCCGAAACTAGAAACAACGCAAGTGACCTTCAGCCAGTGAGCCAGGGGTATCCGGCCACCCTGCTTTAGCACTGGGAGCCTCGTGGCTCAGTCCTGGCAAAACCAGGAAACTGGCCTCCTCCTGCACAAACTCGTGCAGCGATGCCATAACCTCAAGGCACAGCTGTAGTCAGAGGCAACCATCTGGGAGAATCGCGAGGGCAGGACAGGAAATGGAGGAGACCGGTTTACTAGGGTATAACCAGGGGGTCATCAAGTTCATGGGAAATGCACATAATGAAAACACTATGCATAAATTTCAGAAAAAAAAATGTATGCACCAAAACTTTCCATGTTTCTGCCAGCTTTTTGAAGGCCACCCTCCCCCCCCCATACCATACAATTCCATTTAATGAACCTTTCGGAAAAGGCAGAACTATGAGGTCAACAGATGAGTGGTGTCGGGGTGGTACTTGGGAGTGGGGGGACTTTAGAGCGGCCCAGAGCTTTCGGGGAGGGTCAGAACCATCCTGTAATCAACTCTAGAGGCAGCTACATGACTCTACGCCTTTGTTAAAAACTCCCGGAACTGTACCCTGACAAGATGAATTGAATGGCATGTCAATTATACGTCAATCAACCTCGCTTTAAAAAAAAAATAATAAGTAAATGGAAGCCTCCATGCCTCTGTGAAGTTTGGATAAAGCAAACCAATCATTCCATTGTGTCGCACGGTAGTGGTCTGAAAGCCATGTGCCCGGGTGAGGTCACCGGAGAAGCAGGTGTGGAGAGGAGCAGGGAGGAGGCGTGCGCTGGGGCGCCCTGACACAAGCAGAGGAGTCAGGGGAGGAAGGCTGAGGGAAGGCCAGTGGCAGAAAGAAAACCAGGAGCATGGAGTCCGGGCCAAGGGAGGGAGTGTTTCCTGGAGCAGGGCAGATGGGCTGCTTGGAATGTGCTGGAGGTCAAGTTAGAGGAGAGTGGAGAGTAGACTGTGGATCCAGTGGATGGAAGTCATCGGCGACCTTGACGAAAGTCTGCTCGCCCTGGCTTTGGGGACAAGGGCAAGAGGAGACTGTGAAGTCGCAGGGGAAGGGCTTGGCTCAAGGAGGGCGTCCAGAGCCCAGGATACCAAGTGGGTGACCTGTAGGCCCAGGAAGCCCCCGTCTGCCCACGCCCCTGCTGGGCAGAACCAGGGCCACAGTGTGGTGCCCTCCCCTCGCTTGGACCTCCAGCCCGGATCCACTGTTGGTTTTTCCCACCCCGTAAGCCCCGGGGTCAGTAACGAGTCCCTGTCGTGGTGCAAAGCCAGGGCTCAGGCCTCTACAGCAGGCACCGGTGGGACGAGGTCCACACTGCCAGACGTGAGACCGATGGACAGTCCTGGGGTCTGGGCGCAGCAGTCACTTCGCAGCCTGAGAAAATTTGTGGGCGAGAAGGAAGGACTCTGCAGCCTCAGGCTCCGGTGGGCGCCCCTGAGTGCACGCATGCCCAGGGGCCTTGCGGGTGTGCATAAAAGTCTGCTAGTGAGTACATGCATGCGCTCAGTGGGGGCAGAGGTACCTCGTGCAGGGATGTGCCCACCTGCACCCTGCACTGTCACACACGGTCACACCCACAGAGATCGCACGCCCCCAGGCACACTCCCAGCTCCCAGCTTCCCTGGGGCCCAGCTGTGCCCCTACCTGGGTGCCGGCCAGCCCCCTCACCCGGCCCAGCCAGGTCTTCAAGGTGGCACCTGTTCCGGCATCATCACAGGTCTATACTGCCACCTGGTGGCCATTTTGGGAACCCGACATTGGCTCCGTCATAGGACAGGAGGTGGCTGGGGGTTTTGAGGGGGCCTAGAAGACTTGAACAGAGAGTAGTGCCCAGGGTTTCCCTCACTCCAGAGTTGGGACAGAGTCTAGGGGGTCCGACAACTGAATCCCACCCTCAGGGTGTGTCCAGTGCTGGCCCCTTCAGTCACTTTACCTAAGCTCTGACAGAGACGCCTCTGTCAGGTTGGCCGGTTCGGACAGACTTGCAGTCTGGGCCTCGACAAACGTCCTTTCCAGGGGCTTTCGAGGAGCCAGAGGAGGCCTCTGCTGCAGCAACCACAGGGAGGGGACAGGGCCTGTCCCACCCAGAGCTTCTGAGGGGCTCCCAGGCCCTCAACCACAAAATGCCATCCTGGGAGAGGCCCGGGGAGCCACCAGAGGGGTGAGATGTGTCATCCTGGAGGAAAACTATCTCGGGGAGAGGGGGTGCAGGGCCACTGTGCCCTTAATGAACTCAATAGCATTTGGGGACCAAGAATGGGTTTGCTCCAAGGGGCTCCGCTCACAAAATAATACAGATTGTGTCGCTGCTCTGCTAAAACCCCTAGCAGCTGCCGTCCTGCTCGGAGTGAAAGCAGGCATCACCATGACCACGTGTGGGAGCTGACACGTCCCTGCCCGGCTCCTCCCGAGCTCCTGGCCCAGCTCCACCACCCCGGTCTGCTCCTGCCATTGCCTTTGCCGTTCACAGCCCATCTCCCCTCCCTAGAATGGAGGCTCCACAAGTGCAGGCTTGTATGTCTGTCTCCCTCCTGATGTTTCGTCTGTGCCTGGCATATAGGAGACTCTCAATCAATAGCCCAATTATTACTATTACATATTGAAGGAATGAATGAAGGGGACCGGCTCAAATGACTCAGCTGCAGTGCCAGGTCTTCCCACCAGGTGGCGCTTGGAGATCTCCTTTGCTTTTATTGCCCCACTTGACAAACTTGGACTTTTTACTTCTTTGTTTTTGTTTACCTGAGGGCGTGTAAGCTCACTGGAGAGAGAACGAGAGAAGAAGAAGCAAGAAAGCACCCCCCCCCCCCCGGGGGAGGCACACACTGCA